GCAAGCGAACTACTGTAAAAAATTTACTAATTCTTAATCCCTAAACCTGACATTTTGGGTCCAAACCCCACCAACATCACTGCCGTTTCTCAAACCAAGGCAACATTTGTGCTCAATTAGCCGAAGATGCAGCTTTAATTTCTGAGCTACTGCAGAAGCACTACACATCCGAGGAGTTCTGTTTGGGGTTCAGAGTGAAGTTTAGGGTTAGGCTCTACACTACGGCTCCAAAGTACCTGAAGACCTCTCATCATATGAACTTCGGGCCCCAATCCTTCAAATATGATTCCTTAGAGCCTTAGGGTTAAGGGTTTACGGTCTACGGTTGAGGTTTCGGTTCCTGAGAGGAGTTCCGTAAACCCTAAACCCTAAACGCCAAACCTTGTGCAGCCTTGGGTCTGGCAACTTTAGGGAGGTTCTCTCTCTCTCCCTCTCTCTTCTCCCCTTACCTAAACCCTAAACCCTAAACTGGGTTATATACCATAACATGGAGTTATGGGTTTAGGGCTTAGGGTGTAGGGGTTTAGGGTTTAGGTCATAATATTACTGTATGGGTATGTAGTAAATGATAGGATTTCCTCCTCATGGTAACTTAAGTACCTCAAGTAATTTGGGGTACAGGGTCCCTGATAGTGGGTATTTAGGGTATAAGAAAGGGTTGAAGAAGGGGCTGTGTACTGACTATGTCTCCCAATTATGCCGTTTGGCATTATTGCAAGGGTACAACCCAAGCGTCTAAGCCTGAAATCTCAAGAGAGGAGCGTTGCAGTTCGAGCTGCTTCGCTTGAGAGTGAATTTCGCTGACCTCTTGAGTAGTGTTTTATTTTGGGTTATTATGGTCAGCAATATAGAGTGAGATTATATCCTCCTCTTGGGTACAGTATTCCATATTCCAATATCATCTTCCTCTCGGTTCAACCACCAAAAACAACGTTGCTCTGCTGAGGGCCCCCAGCAAGTTCAAATTTTCTGGGGTCCTCAATACCTAAACACCAAAAACATGTAACATAATAGCCCTATACCCACAATAATAGCCATAAAGGCTATTATTTTGCATACTTTGGGGGTCCAGGTATCGAGAGATCCCATGTCGTCCTTTGGAGTTCCATAGGGGTCTACTTGGAGGCCCATGGGATTTAGAAACTACTTATCATTGGGATTATAGCCCGACTTATGATTGGGATAACCCCTGTAAGCCCATTGTGGGGGGATTATAAGTTCGGTTATAAGCCCAGTTATACGTAACTACTAAGTCTTACGGGCCTCCAAGTACAGATACAAGAATCGATAGGGTAAGTTGGGCGGGGCTGGCTGTTTGAATTCGGGTGGACATAGGGTTCCGTCTGCTCACCTGCAACCGTAAGCATCTGCATGTTGCAGGAACCGTATAAGCCCGTAAACTCGAAACCATGCTTGTCTTCCTAAACCCCAAAAGTATGTTAAAAAATCGCCTTTAGGGCTGTTATTACAGGTTTAGGGCTATTATTTTACAGATTTTGTGGGTTTAGGTTGGGTTCCTACGCCAGGAGCAGGACAGTGGAGCAGTGTCCGCGACGTTTGATGCGCGACGAGGCTGCTATTTGTTCGCACTGACCGAAGGACCGGCGTGCTTTCCATCAAGCGGTTTAGCGTGTCGATTATACGTCCTCTTAAATGCTGGCTTCTCCTGCTAGCTGGGGTGATGCTGTAATTAGGTAGCCCGGAACCGAACCTCGACTTGGACGGTCGACAAGCCAACACACTGTGCATCTCAGTTATGAAAAATCATGATTATCAACCTATTGTACACGCGAGAAGACTTTCCATCATAATTCCCTAACAAGCCTGAGGCGGTTACCCAAAGGGTCCTAAGTACCCATATGGGGAATACTTACCCAAACCATAAGGGAAATTACTACTACAGAAACCATACTTTGTACCATGTAGGTACTTTGGACCCTTTGGGTAACAAGCCTGATGTGGTTATGATATAGGGCACTGCGCAAGCCCTACTCCAATTATCTAGGCCCGTACATTCAAACCCTATACAAAGCCTCTACAATCCGATTCGCATATGTTCGTCCCTACGTATTCCTCCCTGCCCCATTTAGGGTGGCCAGTTTGACATGCAAATGCGGAATTGTGCAGCTATCTATGAGGATACGTAGGGAGATATCCCAATAGTAGATAACCAACATGAACATGGAAAATGAAATGGGAGCTGGGGTATACGGGGTTTTAGAGGCATTCAACCTAGGAGCCAAGACAATTAGAACAAGGCTTCAGGGACATTATAGTGTAGTCACATACGGACTACTAACTAGGGAATATTCTGGCTCGTTATTCGAGTTTCATTACTCACTCTAATCCTAAACCCTAGACCATCCATCGTAAACCCTGAACCCTAAATCGGGCATTGGGGTGCCTGGACCATGTGGCCCAAACCTTTCCAACCTTTACATACATACAGAGCCCTGCATGTATATGCATACATATACGTATCTATATATATATATGTATACATTTACAGTTATATACACTACGGAATATACCTTAAACCATGCTAAGACTCCGAATATGCTTGGAGGCTTATTTTTTAGTTAAGAGGTGTGGGATTCTCTCGGTGGAGCCTGGTCAAGGTTTCACCTACAACCTAAACCCTAAACCCTTAAACGGACAGAATCCCTAACAGTGATCTGCATGGTTCGTCTGAAAATCCTAGACCCTAAAACCCTCAACCCCTAAACCCCAAATCCTCAATCCCAGATCCTAAACGCCTCACCCCCCAGCTATCCCAGGAATCCCTCAGATTATATAACATTTCTACACCTCTGCGATCTTGGGGGACTGGTATGGGGTGGGGCCGAAACCTTATAGTGCCTAAACCCTAATACCTACTTGGAGGCCCACGGGACTTAGTGACTCCTTATGATTGGGATTATAGCACGACGTACAATTGGGGTAACCCCTATATAAGCCCATTTAGGTGGATTATAAGTAGGGTTATAAGCCCAGTTATAAGTAGTAAACCCTAAACCCTAAACCCTACATGGGCCTCCAAACTTCATCCCTGAGCCTTCATCCCTGAAGCCCCAACCCATAACCCTAGCCCCCACCATAATTCAGCAACATCCACTTTAGGTGAGGGCTATAGGTTTTGGGGTTTAGGGCTTAGGGTTTAGGGTTTAGGATTTAGGGTTTAGGGTTTAGGGTTCAGGGTTCCCAAGTCCCAAGACCCCCATCCAGAACTCTAATCCCTGATCCCTACAATCCCCAGACCCTTCACCCTAACCCCTAAACCTAATCCCTAATCCCTAAACCTTCACTCCCTGCACCCTAAACCCTTAAAGACAGGAAGCTCTAGCAACCCTGGGGCGCCCTCGGACGTTGAAAGCAGCGAGTCGGAGGGGGGCGCCTTGGTTTGTATGTACTCTAGGGGCCTAAGTAATCTGAAGTTAGGGTGTAGGTTTCAGGGCTTAAGATTTCGGAGGGGCCTAGAGGAGAGGCCTAGATAATCTGAAATTAGGGTTTAAGGGTTTAGGTTTAGGATGTAGGATTTAGGGTTTTTAGGATTTTTCAGGTTGAGGGTTTGGGTTTAGGGTTTAGGGATACGGGAGATTCAAATAGCAAAGAAACTGGAACATGGCAATGACATGGAAGCTGAAGTCACATAAAGCGGCTGTTCTATGGAATCACCCATATTATGGTTCAGCGTTCCTTGTATGATTCTGGTATAGGGTATTTCAATCGGACCTCACATCCCTTGCATTTATTTCTAGTGGTTTAGTGCGACAGTTTCACAAAATGGCCTTCATTTATTCCCTAAGATGGACGCCCTATATCCCTCATGGCCGTCAATCACAAATGTTGGGGGGTTTGTAACAGGTTTGGAAGGCCTTGCCGCGACCTGGGTTTGTAATAGAACTGCTCGAGTTTGCGACAAACTCATTCGCAACAAGGCTCTTTCTTGGGGCATACACGTACCCAGCATTTGTGACAAAGTTGTGTAACAACAGGGCGTGACAAGGGGGCATGCAATTGCCGCAAAACACGTGATGTTGATTTGCAGCCCTTTATTTTTACCGTGCTTATAAGAGCCAGCCAACACGAAATCCGCTTGCTTCCGACCCTAAAACCCGAAACCCTAAATCCTAAACCTAGTGCTGAGGTGCCGAGGCCTTTGCCATCAGCCCGTCCACGCTTTCTAGGTTGGCGTTCGCCTGGCAGGTTTAATGCCAGGCTCTTTCATGCTTGGGAGAGGAATCCCCTCAACCCTAAACCCTACCCTAAGGGTCCAAACACCTAATAATCATATACTTCCTCAAACCTGTACTATAATTACTATTACTCAAATCCCAAGTACCTAAGTATTGGGTACATGGACCCTCTGGGCTATAGACCCTAAACGAATAAGGTTTAGGTTGTAGGGTTGAGGACTCCCAAGGCCACCCGAAGGCCCTAAGGAGTTGGTTTAGGGTTTCGGCTTGTGGTTAAAGGGTTTAGGGGTTTAGGGTTAAGGGTTTAGGGTTAAGGGTTTAGGGTTTAGGGTTTTGAGTTTGGGGTTTCAGGCGTCAGAACCATAGCGCCATGGGAAAGGGTTGACGGCTGAGGATTTGTGGTAAAGGTTACATAGGAAGATCTAAGTTCTAACCAGGTTAGATCCTACAGTCTGTCAGAACTACTGATAGAGATCATACGTGTGTTTTGTAACATACCTGTCTAGGGGTCATGTTTAGGGCGGGGTCTTGGATTGAATAATGGTAGTCTCCAGAAATCAGAGTGCCTCTGGCTGACCTCAACTACAATTCTTTGGTGTCCCCCAAAAGGGACTCCGATTTTTTGGACATCCACACCCCATACCCTAAACCCTAGACCCGAAACAAACAAGCACGGTGGTTGGGACTTCCTCTTCCTTGCTCGGGTTCCCCTCCCTGTGTCAAAGTCTCGCTTGGGCTGTAGGACGTCGTGCTCAGGGTGTGTGGATTAGGTTTTAGGGGTTACAGGGTTTGGGGTGCGCGGTTGAATCCAACCACCTAGGGCTTAACTGAAGAAATTATGACGACCTAACCCGATCTCAAGGACCCTCCTTGCACTCTTCATTGGGGATATATGGCCCCTAATGGTGGAAACTGCGGTCTTACTAGAGGGTGGGAGGAAGGTCAAGGCAGCGAAGTAAAACTTTGCCTTCTTTCCAGAGATGGAATTACTTAGTTACTTGAAATTGGAAACTGAACTCAAAAAGGTTTAAGGTTTAGGGTTTAGGGCTGTCCTCCAAGAAGGGACTATACGGAGATCCATTCTAGTCTGGGGAGGGTACTCCGCACATGTGGTCAGTGGTCCGAATCGTGTTGTGATTCCATGATGGTATGGCAAACGGTGACACCCACCTGGACCCTCCAACGTAATTTGGACTTAGTATTGCTCGCTCATCAGGATTCTGGATAGGATGCCCAACAAGGGTACCGCATGGGATTGTCTACGCAGAAAAGCTCATCTTAACCCTAAGCCCTAAACCCTAAACCCTAACTTAGTGTTAGTAGGGAAAAGGGAGTAGAATCCCTCATGGCAGGTGTTTTCCGAAGGGTTTTTGGTTTTCATGGCGCTGAGGTGACCTCGTAGGAGTGGTATGGGCGGGCCATGAAAGAGGACCAACCGGACAAATACCAGGATTTGGGGTTTAATGGACGCCTTGGTATATAGCTGCTCCATCATCCGGGCATATGCTGGCCAGGGTGTAGATTACCCTAAACCCTAAACCCAGGGGTACCTCTCGTGAACCAGGTTCTCCTCCTTCTTCGGCCCCAGAAGACCTGCACGTCTCAGAATACGCCTACATGATCCCGATACTAGTGATCCCGTAATCCCCTTCATAATCTCCAAATATTTTCTTGAAGGTTCCTGTGGCTCTTTTGTGAGAAGCTCACATGTGTCTCCAAGCGTTGCTTTCTCGCAGCTGCTTTAGGGTTAAGGTTTTGGTTTAGGGTGTAAGGTTCAGGATTTAGAGTT